ACAAATATTTGTGGTGCAATCCTGTAAAAAGAACTGCTTCTTTTTCTCATTTCAAATACGCAGTTTCTTCTGTGTTCTTGGAAAATAAGCAAAAGTCATCCATGTTCCAAATCAAGCTCCTTGTGCACTAGAAATGCAAAGTGTAATGYAGCCTGATTGCATTTTTCCTTAATCTAAGTCTGTATTTACTTTAAAACTCACCAGCTGAGTGAGGCTCAGCACACTCCGTCTGCATTTAAATGAATTTAAAAAGATTGGCCACTTGACTGTGAGAAAGGCCTTGTTTACTTGAGTGAAAAAGTTAATTCTCTGTGATAACACACACAACTCTTAGTCCTGGAACTCATTCACTGAGTGTTTGACTGGAGAAGTGGAATCCGCTTTGTTGCAAAGCAACACATTTCAGTGAGGCAAAAATTCCATTTCTGTTAAATCGCTTTCCAATTTTCAGGATAATGATGTGTTTAATTTACCACAAAACATGGTAATCTGCCTGCAGTGTGAGTCTTGATTAGTCATTTAGATTCATTTTAATCCTTTTTTTTTCTTCATTTTAGTGAAATGTATCTGTGGGCTTTTTACGTAACTTCATTGTTCGTTTTCTAGCACTTAATTTTGATATTTTAATGCTGGCAAAAACTTCTGAGTTCCTGATTTCTGAAAGGAATGATGGTTTTACTATCTGCTGCGCTCACCATGGTGCAGACAGGACCTAGAAGCTRTTAAGGCTTCAAACAATATGTGGATGGTGTACTGGACACATTCTCCTATTTCTAATTTTTGCTGCGAGCCAAACAGCACCACTCTGCCGAGATAATTTCCAATAGCATCATCTTTTCCTGAGCTTTCTTGTAGAACCTAAATGGCTTTGCAAGTTTCCTTCCATGGCTTTTCCTTGCTGCTCCAGTGCACTGGGATCATTCTTCGCTCTCCCTGGGGTCCAGATGTGGTGTGGGGAGCTGAACAAGTGCCATCCTGCCCCACATTCCCCATGGATGTTCCTTCGTGTCACCTCCTCCAGTGTCCCATCAGAGAGCGGGGACAGAGCCCAGTGCTGGCTGAGCCCAGGGTGGCCTCTCATAACCTCCCTCTGTAACTCATCCTCCACCAGGGGCCTCAAAGAGCAGGATCCCAAGGTCTGCTCCTTCTCTCCAGCCCCAGACACATGTTTACTTGCAGATGTAAGCAAAAAAGCTGACATTTTTGGAAGGACATCCGTGGGAAGCGATTTTCCCCCTGAACTCAGTGTTGCTGTTTTGACACTAGCCCAGGTTAATCTCTGTTTCAACAATGACGTGTGTGGGACCGTCTGCTTAATGTATATGTACAGCTGCCACCTAGAAAATAAACTGTGCAGTTCATGGAAACAGACTGCAGCACAGAGATGGGAAATTCAGAATGATGATGATAATATTAATGTATGAATGGCACCATCTTATAAATTTTTCAAGATTCTCATGAAACAGGAGCAGCCAGTTTGATCTCTCTCATTTAGTTCACAGAGTCACTTCTGTGTTCTCTGGTTGTTCATCATTTGGTTCCTTCACTCCTCCATCCTTCTAGAAAACTTTTTTTTCCAGCATGGATATTCTAAGCCTATGGTATTTTGGGATTTGGAAAAAAACCTGCTGGTTGTATAACACTAGAGAAATGCTCTAAATGAGGAGTGTCTGACAAAGAAATAGTTGCTGCTTCTGCTGAAAAATAGTTCAGGCTATCATGAAAAATCATAGAATTTTTTAATATGAGTTCACTAAGGGAAAAGTGCATGTTTCTTTGTGGCTTTAGCCCTCAGGACTGTTTTTAAAAGTACTCAGAGGCTTGTGTGGCTATGTACAGCAGTTTTAGCTAGGTTGTAACATATCTGGTTTATTAAGAATGGTTTGGGGTCATCTTGTGTGTTTGGCTAATATTGCAGAATTTACACTAAATTTACTGCCCTTATTTATGCAAAATATTAAGAGCAGTTTGAATAAAATAGAGGTGATGCTTTACTGTARTAAGAATAACTGACTTGGGGAAGATGTGCTATTGAAGCAAAACTAAGAAATCTGGGAACTCAGCCTGACCATGGAAACTACTTCTCTCACCACAAATATGGYATGTACATTTTATGAAACCTGCTTATTACCAAGGGCCAAATTCTGTGGTCCTTATGCAAGCACAGCTTTCACTGGAAGTTCACTGAGGACGGTAGAATTTGGCCCCGAGCTATTTCTTTTCCATATGAAATTACTTCATTTGTAATTTCCTCTTCTTATATTTCTCAGTAACTGCAGAAATGTGAGCTAGTCATTTAATTTCAACTGAGTTAAAGCTTTGAGGACTCTCCCTGTGAAATTGCAACTTTATCTTTCAGTGTAATAGAATAAAGGAGTAAATTTGTGGACGTGATATTTTGCTTAGAGGCAAAAAAACCCCACCCTATTTGGATAACTACACAGACAGGAAACCAATGTAAATACGTGAGTTTTTCCATTGAAGTAAGATGAGAAAGGTTTGGGGTTTTGAACCAAAGACCAATGCCTTGGGATGTTGCAAACATCTGAATTAATACTGGGCTTCTGGGATGTGTCTGTGAGCGCTCTGCAGCCACAAGCCAGCGTTGATGAGGTCTGGGTTCCTTATATTACCCCAGTTAATTTYGTTAGTGTGGTGCTCAGCCTTGGCTGGAGTATTCCCTTCTGCAAGGCTGATGCAAGTGAGCCCACACCGCGCTGCATGGTGCCTTGTAGACACTTCCAGGGAGGAAGGGCAATTGGAGAGTAAGGGATTGGGGCATGAGGCAAAGGTTGGGATCTAAAGGCGCTGCCACCTCTTTTTTTTTTAGGAATTTCCCAGCCTTGGCTTTGTCTCAGCAATTACCCTTAAAACAGTGAGCTTCRGGCTTCAGCTGTGAGCTGGCTTTCTTTTCCAGGCTGAGCTGCGTTACTGATGCTCTTTGAATGTGACTTACCCAAGATTAATTTCTGAATTATATATAAGTTGTTGAATCAGCTGCGAAACTTTACAACTTTCAACCTTTCATTTCATTAGCTGCGAGATGAATGTCAATAAAATGCGTTTGGAAGGCCAGAGCTTGATGACACACGCAGCAAACGCYGCTGAGGACTCTCTTTCGTTTAATGCAGAAATAATAAACACTTCACAGGCAATATTTCAGCAATCAAGAACACTTTTGCAGGCTTTTCTATCTATATGTRTTTGGCTAAATGACAAAATCGTGAGTTAAAAAAAAAGGCTAAAAAATGAGTCAGACTTATTGCCTTAATGTAACCTTCCTGGCTGAAAGTGTATTAATTGGCAGGGTGAATTACCTCAGACTGGAGCAGAGAAAGGCCTCTATTGTGTGATGTGAAACCTATACTTCTTGGCTTGCACGTCCTTTCCTCGGCATTGTGATCCTTCCCCTCTGATCAGCAGCCCTCAAACTCAGCCTTGTGAGATTTATAACACCTTTTGATTGGAAGCTCTGTCATTCAGCCCATCTGGGCATTAAACCAAGTCACTGCACAGCTCCTTGTGGTGAAAAATCCTCCTTCCTGAGCAGGGGCTGCTCCCAGTTTCATTTTGCGATGCAGTGTGGTGCTTGTGCAACCTTCAAGGGTTAACATGTGRGGAAATGGGTCGTTGTTTCTCCTTTTATGTAAAAACTTGGTGTTTGGAGCCCTTGCCAGGAGCAGATGAGACCCAAGAGCGGAGCCTGCCTCCTTCCCAGCCCTAAGGTTGATCTCCAGCAATAACCTTGGATAGCAGAGACCCAATCATCTGCCGGGCTGGAAGGGCTGGGGCGGTCACACGGGGCAGCCTGTGTTCCATCAAGTGACAGCTCCGTGTAATATGCCTGCCTCACGGCAAGGACTCCACCAGTCTGGCCCAAAGCAGTTCATTATCGCTGCTTTTTTCCCCATCCAGCAAATGCTGGGCTTTTGCATCCGAGATGGAAGGGRAAAGGATGCAATCTTGGGTAAAAGAGGCACGCTCATCATCTGTCTTTTTGGTAAAAGGAGCCATAACTCACGTGTTTTGTGCTCCACTATCACTTTTTCCTTCTCCTTCCTATGTGTTCAAAGGAAGGAACAATCCCTTTTTTCCCCAGGGACCCTCAGTGAAGAATTTGGTTAGCAGAAGATGTCTTGCTGATTCTTGGCTGAAAAGGGATGTAATGAATGGACTGACAAAACTAACATGAGCTTGTAAAARTCTTCATTGTCTTTTTTTGGATTTGACAAAGGAAAAGCTTAAGAGAACAAATACTGAGAGATTKCACATGAATAAACATGCTATTTCATGCTCGTTGCTGCTCATCAGAGTTGAGTTTAGAATAGCAAGGAGGATGAAAGCCCTGGGTTAAATAAGTTCAGTCTGATTTCCCGTAAGCCAGTATCCCATYGGAGTGAGCTTATTTGCTGCTATAGATGGTTGCTTCTGTGGAGAAAATGAGTCTGAACAGRGCTGGAGACTCACTGCGACCTTCTCACCGCTCACAGAAGGTCTCCCCAGGTCAGGGGTGCGACCGGCAGTGGAAAAGCCACGTGGAAAGCTGGGTTTTGCCACTGTTTCCACTCTTATTTGTTCTGCGGATGAATAAATTGAGGGCTGGAGTCCTCACGTCTGTCAGCGTGCCACCTTTGAAGGTCTTCTCGCAGAGAAAGAGGAAAGTCAACCACATCTTCAAATTGGTCCTAATTGTTACAGGAAGCCTTTCTGAGCAGTTCCAAGACCATCTTTTTCCACTGAGCTTGTATTACAAAATATTTCTGGAATTAGATGGAGCAAGAAAAATAATAACTTCTTTTTTCTTGTCTTTCACAACTTGTACTTTATGTCAAGATGACTTTGAAACAAACCCAACCCTGTCCTCCGCGTTGAACTTGCTTTCTTGCTCCGTGAACTGTGACATGCTCAAGCGCTCGGCTCTAAATCGGGGCTGGCAGACCTCCGATTAGCAGGCTGGTGTTTGTAACCTCTGGCACTTTGTATCCCCCCCTTTCCCCCAGGATCTCCTGCCCTCACTGGCACTGGAACCATTGCTGTCACAGTGGATGATGTCAATGACAATGTCCCCGCGTTCGCCTTTAACATGTATTTCGCCACGGTTCCGGAGGATGCTCCCACRGGGACAGATATTTTGCTCGTCAACTCCTCGGATGCTGATGCTTCCACAAATGCTGTTATTAGGTAGGTCGATTACTGCTGCTCCGTGTAATACTGCCTCATATCTTGCCTGAAGATTTATTTTTTTCCCCAGCATCCATCACCAATGTGCCTTAAAGCTGTAAGATGAAATAGAACAGCTTTATGTGTGTCACTAAGTTATTTGGGCAAATCTGTCTTTTTTTTTTAAATATGTTTTTAGAGTTACTTTAAGGACAAGTGGAGTTGCAGAGTTACTTTGGTCTTTACTGAGTGAAAAGCAAASCAGTTTAACTTTCACCTGCACCCACTACCTGCCTTGCTGCTGCATTCACACCTTTTCATGCACTGAGCAATTTTCACTGCAAGCCAGCAGGTTCCCTGAGTAAATTTTTGGTCAATGAATGTCTTTAGTTTAACATGAAAATCACACAAGGTAAAGCATAGAGTTTACACCATTCAGAAAACCRGTAAAAAGTTAGAATTTGGCATTTTTGCACTGAATGCCAAATGGTTTGCAGGGCTTAGTTGATGGGACTTAACTGGGCTGAACACTGACATTCCCAGTTCCACAGATGAGTAATGAAGATGCTGAGAGGCAGTGACAAGCTGAAGATTATCTGCTGAGGACAGATACATTGCAAATGGAATGCAAAGCAAATTTGTATTAGTTCTTAATCAGAAGGACACGCAGGTGATCTCACCACATTTAACTATTGTGGSTGCAAACATCGCTGTTTCCAAACTCACAAAGCAAGATATAAAAGCTTCTTTATTTACTTTTGTTAGYTCACCTCAGTTTCTTCTTCAAAGAGCATAAGAGTACCAAAAAATAAAGTGTCACTTTCTTTTAAAGGAAGTCAAATAAAACAGAACTATGTTATGGCAAAACAATGTCTATAAAATWCTGAAGTATTTTCTTTCCACCTAGCAAGAAGCCAAAAATAGAAACTTGACATTTAGACATCTTTGGATATTTGAAAATCATCCAAAATTACCATTTATTAAATTGTGAAACAATGAAGCTTTTAATTTTATTCACTCTTAGTCTAAGAAACTATTTCTGGCAAGATCCTTCAGGAAAAAAGAATTCCATGCAAAGCATGAATGACTGTAATGATTGCGTCCCATAATCAGAAATTATCAGAGTGCTCTTGGATTTCTTTAGTGTGGTTAAATTGCTTTAATATCTCTGCCATTAGTCTTTGTCATTCACTCAGTACCTCATCATAGAATTAGTTGATAAAAATATTTTTCCCTTCATAAGTAGCTATTAAAAAATGTTTTCAGGTTTTGTTTTACACTCTACAAGCTCAGAACAGACTTTGTTTTTCTTGGACAGAACTTGTCCAGATTCAGCATTTAAAGTAGATCTTAAAATATGGCTGGTATTACAAAACTGGTGAAAGCCAGAAGGACCAGAACATGTAAGGTCGTCTTGTCAGAGGTGTTGAGCACTCAGAACTCCTTTTCAGTCTTGTTAAGAGTCTGTTTCGAAATTAAACCTTTGGTTTCTAAAAGGAATATTTAAAATCCTTGGCTTAAAGTCAGAAAATGTGCTGTGTTTTGAAAGAAGTGGTTAATCTTCTGCAAAACTGTCACCTGCCTATACATGCCAAGACTTCTCCTGTTTCTGGTGATAACCTGTGAAGTCATTAAAGGAGGGTGATGGGGTTGTAAATGGCCATGCACAYTYGAGCAGCCTTGTTAAAGACAGTAGACRKGAGTCAAAAGGCCAGATTTTAMGTRTTTGGATCAAATTCCTTTTATGCCACTTGTCACCATTAGAGTTTMAGGGCATTTTTGGTTTTGTTTAGTKTTTTTGGAGTTGAGTTTSGRTCTTTTACACTGTCCAGTTGGTTTACGTGCAGCTATAATTCAGATTATCTGATGACGAATATAGTATGTCTTTATTATTTCCTTTAAAATAATAATTAAAAAAAATCATGGTAACATTTGAGCCACTCCATATATGTGGAAACACAGAAGAGAAAGTTTCTGTCTCTGCAACACCTCACTCACCATTACATCATTGCAAATCACAGATGAAATGTGCCGGTGCTGCTGCCGTTTAGGGAGATTTAAGTGGTGCTTTAGGCTTTGTGCACATTCCTCCCATTCTAGATGCACATTGCTAGGGCTGGAGRATAATTGCATATGGCCATCACATTATATCATAATTAAGCAATTAAAGCATGCTTGTGGCGTTGTGTAGAGATTAATGACTGAGTAGGAGAAGTTGCCACAGCTTATTACCCAGGCTGGCTCTCAATCCTCTCGGTGCAGCTTCTGGGCTGTGTTATGATTGCTGTCATAACCTGTTCGGCTCTTAAAGAGGTGAAGATAGGAACATTAATCTTTGTCATTAAAGCCACTTCCTTCTGAATCTTTCACAGAATTGCCTYCAAAAAGCTGCTACTGGACTGTACCAGGCTTCTGTGAAGGAGCAAAGCTAACTACAGCTGTGTTGGGTTGTAATATTGAACATGAGAATTGTCCATTTGAGCCAGTTTTTGTTTCCTTTGTTTTCTCAAAAATCTGTTATCTGAATTAATAAGGAATGTAACATTATCCAAGTGCTGTTAAAAATGCAGCCCAGTGCTYCCCATATCTTTGAGATTCATTCTGGTGACCACGAGCTGGGTGAGAAGTCCAAGAGAAGGGACAAACTGAGTGGGGTAGGAAGTCAGAGGAGCCTGTGCAAAGCGCTGCAGTGAGCACACAGTCAGTTCTTATCAAATCACACAGGGATGTGTGCATGCACAGCCAACGGGGGCTAAACTCTGCTCCCAATTAGTCTCTGTTAACAGGGCTCTCGGGCCACTAATTTGCTATGAATTGCTATAAATTAACATTGAAATCTTGAATAGCAAAGCTTTGGAAACAAGATGGATATTAAATCCTCATTTTATTCTGTAAAACTGTCTTTTATTTCAGAAAACAGTAGGTTTACTAAATATATTGTGTATAATTAGTATCAGAATTCTGTATAATTAGTATACAGAATTCAGTTAAGAGGTACATCAGCCTTTTGGAGTAACACTTAATGCATTAGCTCAGGGAAATCAAAACTAGAGGATGCCTCCAGTAGGCAGTTTTGAGAGTWTGTCTGATTGTATCTTTAAATATCCAAAAGCTCAGTCAGCTACTCATGTGTTAGAAATCTATCTGTGTTAAACAACTGTGCTTGGAAATCCCCAGAAATGTCATTTATGACAGGCCTTGGAATCTGAAAAAGTAAAACAGTGAGGACAGATGGAGAGTYAGAAGAAAATCTGACTGTCTGTCTTGATAGCCATCAGCATGGTGGTCTGAAGAGTATAGGAAATGGTTATTATCTTAAGGCAGCAGGCTGTCTTTTGAAATACTGATCCCATTTTTGTCCCTTGGTTTTCCTTTCCAACAGCTACAGGCTGACGGGCGGCAATTCCCAATTCACCATCAACCCCTCTACAGGCCAGATCATCACCAGTGCTCTCCTGGACCGAGAGGCCAGGGAGAAYTACACCCTGGTGGTGGTGGCCAGCGACGGGGGCGTGCCCAGGGCCCTGTCCAGTTCCACCAGCGTGCTCGTGTCCGTGGCCGACGTGAACGACAACCCGCCCAAATTCCAGCACCACCCCTACGTCACACACGTGCCATCACCCACTGCTTCAGGTAACCAGTGGCAGTGCTTGGGATGAAAGCACTTCCATARACACACAATCATGGGATGTTTGGGGTTTGAAGGGACCTTAAAGATCATCTGATACCCACCCACCTGCCATGGGCAGGCACATCTTCCGCTAGRCCAGGTTACTCAACCTGTCCTTCCAACTTCCAAGCTTGGGGAATCCACAGCTTCTCTTTTCATTTCATCTTTTTTCATTTCATCTTAATGAAATTCAAATCTGTGCCACAAAAAAAATGTTTCTGAGATGTTCCTCTGCAGCTGTTTTCCTGGTGTTATCCTCGTGTTGCATGGGAATGAGGAATAACAAACCTCAATTTGCCATCCACAATTTAGGAGGTTTTTTCTATTGTGTTYCTTCCATCCAAATTCAATTATGTTCCTGGAGTTACGTAAAGTGGACGTACTGTAAATGAGCACCCACTCAAAAAAGTGATTGTTTTGCCAGGGTTAGGAAGACAATGGCCTCTTTTTATTTCTGAAAGTCTCCTCTGAGCAATTCTTAAAGAGGATTTTGACAACCCTTTCCAAAAACACTTTGTCTATGTCAGATGTTAATTATGTTGCCTCTCCTTGAGCCAAGTGGTGAAGCAAAATAAAATATAAGTAAATCCAAGCAGAAATCTTTCTTTTGTGGAGCCTACACCCATATTAAAGTTACTTCACTCAACAAGTTAATTTCTGATTTAGTTCATGTTTTATGTTTTCACATGCATACACATACATGGATATGTGATGCCTACAGAGAGGATTCCATGACAAATGGTTTACAAAACAAATTTTCTTTTAACAGWAAAAAAAGGGCTTATTTCCATGTCTTGGATTTTGCCTCTAAATTTTGAACAATTGCAAATACTTCTCCTTTTTATGGAAGAATGAATTTGTTTACAATTCTTCCCTGTTTTCAGAACAACATTATTGAATTGTTTTATTATTGCATTGGTGAAACTTTGTGTAATCTGACCAGGGCACAGTCCCTTTATCTGGTTGGTTTTGGGAGGTTTCTTTAAATTCTTTTCACAAGGAGTACACATAGGTTGACCTGATGTTTTCTGGCAATATCTGTTTGGGTGCTTTTTGTATGAAATCTCTTAAAACTAGAAACTTAAGCTATGTTTACTTGTTTTTTTTAACTCAGCAAAAACTTAGGGATGCATCCATTTTTTTATTTACAGCTTTCTTTTCTTTTTKGTATTYTTAATCGAGTTTAAAAGGAGGAACTAGTAATAACATTAATAATATAATTTGAATAACTAAAGCACAAAATCTCATTTCTTCCTGTCCCATTTCTCACAGGGATTTGAATACTGTTCTTGTCTGAATATTCCTGCCCCTGGAGTATAAATCACTGCACATGACAAATAGTGACATGAACTATAGTTTTAAGGGATGCTGTCAAAGTCATTCCTGCCTGCAAATGATTTTCCCTTGAGTGGTTGAAAACAGCATGATTTTTACACAAAAATGGGCATTTTCTAAATTTTATTACCAGTAGAACATCAGCAGTGTTATGCAAATTGGTTGGACAGTGTCAAGTTTGAAAGACTTGCATTAGATTTGTAAAGGCTGGTGAGAAAGAGCACCCTGGGTTCTCCTTGCAGATGGACAAATAYAGAGGTTAAATGCAAATGGTGCTGATTGTGAAGGATAAATTCAAAAGACCTGAAATGTCTGAGTGTTATCATGTTACTGTACTCATATGAAGTAGTTTTGTGTTTCTATTTTCCTTCTTTCTCAGAGAACCAGCATGCTTTTAAAAATGCAGTCCTCTTAGTTACTCTGTCCTTGGAATACTCTTAGAAAATCAGGAGTGAGAGGCTAGTGGGGMGAAAGGAGCAGCACCCAGGGAATAGGAAGAGAAGGGATTGCAAGGGAAGGTGGGTGTGTAGGGTATATCCATGCACGTATGTYCATGCGTGCTGCCTGTTCACTTAYATAAWGTTAATAATCCTTGAGTTCCAGGGYGGAGTTTTTTCATGGSTAAGAGTAATTAATAAGCTAAGAGTAATTTTACAAATCAAACCAGATTTCAATCTTACTGGGTTTATGGCTTTTAAAGTGTGAATGKTCTAGAAGTAGGATGCTAGGTCCAAAAGCCTGCTGGTCTGTTTCCCAGTGCACTTACTGAGATCTGTCCATCCRGCTTTCTGAGTGCAGTGTCTTATTTTTCAACTCTACATTTTCTGATAATGTGCGTGTTTGGTGGACTCACCTGCCTTTGTTGAGCTCACCATCCTGTGAAAAAGGCAGCTCATTTTTGGAGCAGTGTAAGGAAGAGTGTGCTGCCCCAGGATGTGCTTCTGAGTGAAAAGCTGGCATCACATTTCTCACAATCAGTGCATTCCTTCAGGACTGACCTAACCTGCTTTTCCATTTCAGGCTCGTTTGTGTTTGCTGTGACCGTCACCGATGCAGATGCCGGCTCCAACGCCGAGCTCCATTATTCCCTCGTGGGGAAGAACTCTGAGAAATTCCACATCGATCCAGCAAGAGGGGCGATCCTGGCAGCAAAACCACTGGCGGGAGAATCCGAAGTCACCATTTCCGTTCACGTGAGGGACGGTGGCCGGTACCCCAAGACAGAYTCTACCACGGTCACCGTGAGGTTTGTGGACAAAGCCGAATTTCCTCGCGTGCAGGCGGATCAGGAGACCTTCACGTTTCCTGAAAACCAAGCAGTTGGGACGCTCGTCACCACCGTCTCCGGGTCTTCAGCCAGAGGAGGCTCCTTATCTTACTACATCGCCAGCGGTAACCTGGGCAGCACCTTCCTGGTGGACCAGGTGACGGGACAGCTTTCTGTGGGGCGGGCTTTGGATTTCGAAGCCATACAGAAATAYGTGGTGTGGATTGAGGCCAGGGACACGGGCTTTCCCCCCTTCTCCTCGTACAAGAAATTGGAAGTGTCGGTGATTGATGTCAATGATAATGCGCCGGAATTTGAGCAAGATCCCTTCATTGCAGAAATAGCAGAGAACCTGTCCCCGCGGAAAATACTGACGGTGGCTGCTGTCGACAGGGACAGCGGTCTAAATGGACAGCTAAACTATGAAATAATTAAGGGCAACACTGAAAACAGTTTCAKCATCAATCGAGCCACTGGTGAGATCAGAAGCGTCCGGCCCTTGGACAGGGAGAGACTGTCTCAGTACACACTAACCGTAAAAGCTTCGGATAAAGGCACTCCGCTGCAGAGCACGACCGTCAAAGTTATCATTAATATTTTAGATGAAAATGACAATGCTCCAAGGTTTTCCCAGATATTCAGTGCTTCTGTGCCTGAAAATGCCCCTCTGGGTTTTACAGTMACCCGGGTCACGACATCAGATGAGGACATTGGGGTGAACGCGGTCAGCAGGTACTCCATAAGGGACACGAGTCTYCCGTTCACCATAAATCCCAGCACTGGGGACATCACCATCAGCAGGCCACTGAACAGGGAGGACACYGACCGCTACAGGATCAGGGTCTCTGCGCATGACTCAGGGTGGACAGTGAGCACAGATGTCACCATATTTGTCACGGATGTCAATGACAAYGCCCCACGATTTACAAAACCGTCCTATTACCTGGAGTGTCCCGAGCTTCCTGGGATTGGGCTGAAGGTCACCCAGGTTTCAGCCACCGATCCAGATGAGGGCTCAAACGGCCAGGTCTTCTACTTCATAAAATCCCAGTCCGAGTTCTTCCGCATTAACGCGACCACRGGGGAGATTTTCAACAAGCAGTACCTGAGGTACCAAAACTCCAGCGGTTCCAGCAATGTCAACATCAACAGGCACAGCTTCATCGTGACCTCGTCAGACCGGGGCAGTCCCCCGCTGGTGAGCGAGACCACCGTCACCATTAACATCGTGGACAGCAATGACAACGCACCGCTCTTCCTCACTCCTAAATATTTCACTCCTGTTACTAAGAACGTGAGGGTTGGCACAAACTTAATTAAAGTGACTGCGGTGGATGACAAGGACTTTGGCTTGAATTCTGAAGTGGAGTATTTCATGTCTGATGAGAGCAAAACCAATAAATTCAGGCTGGACCGGAGTACAGGCTGGATTTCTGTGTCTTCTTCACTAATGGCTGATTTGAACAAAAACTTCCTGTTTAAAGTGAAAGCCAAGGACAAGGGTAATCCCCCACTCTCATCTGAGGCAGCTGTTGAAATAGTAGTGACAGAAGAAAATTACCATACACCGGAGTTTTCCCAGAGCCGAATGAGCATTACTATCCCAGAGASTCACTCTGTTGGCACGGTGGTCAGGACAGTTTCAGCACGAGACAGAGATGCTGCTATGAATGGATTAATCAGATACAATATTTCCTCAGGAAATGAAGCTGGAATCTTTGCTATTAATACAACCACCGGTGCGCTGACGCTAGCCAAACCACTGGATTTTGAGTTGCACCAAAAGCACGAGCTGGTYGTCACTGCCACAGATGGAGGATGGGTGTCCAGAACAGGCTACTGCAGTGTCACTGTCAATGTCATTGATGTCAATGACAATTCCCCAGCATTCAGCCCCGAGGAATACTTCCCCACYGTGTTAGAGAATGCCCCCAGTGGCACAACTGTTATTTGTTTAAACGCCACCGATGCAGACTCTGGGTCTAACGCTGTGATTGCGTATGCCATTCAGTCCTCAGACAGCGACCTCTTYGTCATTGACCCCAACACGGGAACCATCACCACCCAGGGATTTCTAGATTATGAAACAAAACAGAGTTACCATTTAACAGTAAAGGCTTTTAATGTTCCAGATGAGGAGAGGTGCAGCTTTGCTACTGTCAACATCCAGTTAGAAGGGACRAATGAGTATGTGCCCCGCTTTGTGTCCAAGCTTTATTATTTCGAGGTTTCAGAGGCAGCCTCCAAAGGTACTGCTGTAGGTGAAGTTTTTGCAAGTGATCGYGATATGGGAATTGATGGAGAAGTCCACTACCTCATCTTTGGCAACAGCAGAAAGAAGGGCTTCCAGATAGATGAGAAAAGTGGCCAGATCTATGTTTCAGGACCTCTTGACAGAGAAAAAGAAGAACGAATCTCTTTGAAAGTCCTCGCRAAAAATCTGGGGAGCATTCGTGGTGCAGATATAGATGAAGTAACCGTTAATATCACAATCCTGGATGCCAACGATCCTCCTGTTTTTACCTTGGGAACCTACAACGTACGAATCAGCGAGGGTGTTCCACCAGGCACCCATGTCACATTTGTCAGTGCCTTTGACTCTGATTCTGTCCCCAGCTGGAGCAGGTTTTCCTATTTCATCGGGTCCGGCAACGAGAACGGCGCCTTCTCCATCAACCCACAGACAGGACAGGTGACGGTCACTGCAGAGCTGGATCGAGAAACGCTGCCCATCTACAACCTGTCCGTGCTGGCCATCGACTCGGGAACGCCGTCTGCCACAGGAAGTGCCTCCCTGCTGGTAACTTTGGAAGATATCAACGACAACGGCCCTACCTTGTCCACCAGCCAAGGGGAAGTCCTGGAGAACAACCGTGCGGGAACTCTGGTGATGACGCTTCAGTCGTCAGATCCCGATCTGCCTCCCAACCAAGGTCCTTTCACTTATTACCTGCTCAGCACCGGCCCCGCCACCAGCTACTTCAGTCTCAGCACCTCTGGCGTCCTGACTACAACGAGGGAGATTGACAGGGAGCAAATCAGCGATTTCTACCTGTCAGTGATCACCAGAGACTCTGGCGTTCCTCAGATGTCTTCCACAGGRACTGTGCAGATCAAGGTAATAGACCAAAACGACAACCCGTCTCAGCCCAGAACGGTAGAAATCTTTGTTCATTATTATGGCAACCTCTTCCCAGGTGGAATTTTGGGCAACGTAAAGCCGCAGGATCCGGATGTGCTGGACAGCTTCCAGTGCTCCCTCACGTCRGGAGTCACCAGCCTCTTCAGCATTCCCGGGGGCACCTGCGAGCTGCACTCGCAGGCCAGGTCCACGGACGGCACGTTTGACCTGGCCGTGCTCAGCAACGACGGCTTGCACGGCGCYGTCACCAGCAGCGTGCGGGTTTTCTTCGCGGGCTTCAGCAACGCCACCATCGACAACAGCGTCCTGCTGCGCCTGAGCGCCCACAGCGTGCGCGACTTCCTGACCAACCACTACCTGCACTTCCTGCGCATCGCCAGCTCCCAGCTCACCGGGCTGGGCACGGCAGTCCAGCTCTACGGGCTCTACGAGGACAGCAACCACACCTTCCTGATGGCGGCCGTCAAGCGCGGCGGCAACCAGTACGTCAACCCCAGCGGCGTGGCCACCTTCTTCGAGAGCATCAAGGACGTCCTCTTCCGCCAGAGCGGGGTGCGCGTCGAGGCCGTGGACCACGACTGGTGCCTGCAGAGCCCCTGCCAGAATGGAGGGAGCTGCCTGAGGAGGCTGGCGGTGGGCCCGGCTCTGCAGAGCCATGAGAGCGTCCCTGTTGTCATCGTGGCCAACGAGCCACTGCGGCCCTTCGTGTGCCGCTGCCTGCCGGGCTACGACGGGAGCCTGTGCGAGACCGACATCGAYGAGTGCCTGCCCTCCCCATGCCACAACGACGGCACTTGCCACAACCTGGTGGGGGGCTTCTCCTGCAGCTGYCCCGAGGGCTTCACCGGCATGGCTTGCGAGAGGGACATCAACGAGTGCCTTTCCAACCCCTGCAAAAACGGGGCCGCCTGCCAGAACTTCCCAGGAAGCTTCAACTGCGTGTGTAAAACAGGCTACACAGGTATGCTTTTACTTCTCTATACCTTAAGGTGCAGAAAAGTAGCGAGAGTGTGGAGATGTCCCTTCTCAGCACAAGATTGTCTGAATACAAGCATCCCCAGTAGACAAAGAAGTCATGCAAAATGAGGTATTAATAGTGTGAAAACTTAGAAGACCAGGTGCCCATAATATTATTTTATTTCAGCTCTGTCCCCAGGCAAATCTCTCTTACCTGATTTGCATTAGAACAGAAAGATTTTTATGAGCGCTATTTAAATTTATTAAATGTGTAGAAACCRTTTCCAGTGCTGAAGTATGATTTTTCTGTGCGTGTTATTGTTATGCATAATGTGGGAGCATTTCAAGTCTGCTAGGAGTGTGCCAAGCAAGAAAATCAGTCTATGCCCCAAATTACTTGCAGGACAGAAAACAGATGAAGGATATGGGAAAAACCAGATTTCAGGCAAAATGGCCTACCTCTCTGTATTTTGTCCCTTTGTCATTTATTTTTCTCATTAAGAGCAGAAATGTTTGCAGGATTCCTACCCCATCTGAGCATTTTTTCTCTAATATTTATTACAAATTCAAACACAGCAAAGCAGGCTGGTCTTTGCTTCTGCTACAAGTAGGATATTTAATGAAGGTCTGAACAATTTAACCAGTGCTTATAGCCACTTTTTATAGAAATCAGAAAAAAAAATTCTAAACAGAGGAGATTAGGTAAGGCTTTCATTGCCTTTTTTAAGGTATTTCTGTATTGCAGAAGCCCCAAGTAGCACAACTGTGTCCATTGTTCAGACAGTGGTGGTGTGGAAGTTGCCTCCACCACCACCACAACTCACCTGTAACCCATGGAGGGATCAGGGAATCYATTGTTCCTTTGGGTTTTTTTCTTAAACCAGATCAGTGCAGGAGAGAATAGAGGAGAAAGTTAATTAATTTCAAAAAAAAAAAAAGGTTTGACTACTGAATTTAAATCTCAGCTGCAGCAATGAGTTCATATTCAGTGCAGTACCACTGACACTGATGAGATACATCGCATGAACCTCACAAATGTGCTCCTGAGCCTCAGGTCAGGAGCAATTCTTGTTACTTGACAAGCAGTTCTAATTAAGTTACCAATCCAGGATTTTATTTCATGTTGTATTAGCACATCAAATTATTTTGCCAGGAGCATGGCAAAATAATTCTAGGGCACYTAAGCCCTGTAACTCTTGAGGTCATTAGCACCAGAGAGTCTATGCATATGTTTGCTGTTGCAGTGAAGTAAAATCTTCATTAAGTCCAGCAGCAAACTACAGTGTGTGCCTCTAGACTGTAATTTGAAACATTTATGAAACATCCAGCTGATTTCTGCTGGTATTAAAGCTCATATTTTAATGCTCAGCCCTTATGTCAGCTAAAAATCAAACTCTGTGTGTGACAAGCTCAAAAAAAAAAAGACGAATGTTTCTGCTAAGAGAATGTGATGAGAGACTCTTAGAGTTTGAAGTGTTGGATTTCCTTCATGGCATGAATTCAATGTGGCATCTGATAGGAGCTTTCTTAAACTCCTTGTCAACACAAATAACCTTAAAATAGACTGCCACTGAGGCAGACGTTTCTATTTGGGAGTCAGATGTTGTTTAATCAGTTGGCCATTGCAGAATCAGGAGTTATTAAAGTGTCCTGAGATTAATTGATCAAGACAGAAAACAAACGGTACCGGCGTAATTAAAAGACAAAATATCTTTGGAGTTTAATATCAACAGAGCTTATTAGATAAGATCACAATTAACACGCAGAATATTTAGATATTTTATGTCTGCAAAAGCATATTTGAAATTCTGCACATTTAATATTCAATAGGTTCTGCAAACAAATGTCAGTGTACTGATTGTTTGAGAATGCTTGACATAGARGCCATTATGTCATTATTACACTGCCAACAGAAAGAGAACACAGCTGCTTGGGCTCTTGATTTGCATTCATATGTGATTAAAGAWAGCCACAGTGGATGCAAAAATAAAGCTTCAAACTGATTCTTCATGAAAATAAACCTTGAGTGTCTCAATAACAAAAAAGAGACATCCAAATTAGTGGATTTCTAGTTCAGTTGGCCATATACATAGCTTTGCTGCTTCTGTTGGAATAAAATACAGGCTCATAATTGAATTAGCATTCTTGGTAAAAAAATAATATTTACATGGTACTGCGTACAAGTAGAAATTCGTATTTTCTGAGAGAGACTCACTGTTCACTGTAAATTAGAGTACATGAGCTGTAGACCTTTGTAATGGTGTACCTGAAAACTGAGAGTCTTACTTTTCCTTGATTTATTATGTTTTGTCAGCTGCATTTCACTTCATCACACTGCGAAAGGTAATGTTCTTTTCRCTGGATAGGATTATAAAGACTGATTACCTCAGAGCAGCATCATTAGGGTTTAAGCAATCTGTTATAATTATATCTCTTAATGATGAACAGGTTTTGTTTTTAAAATAATCACTTTCTGGAGGGAATATGCTTGGTGATTTACAGTAGTTGTCTGCCCTTCCTTTGAACCCTTCATTTCCTGTTTTCCAAGATTCATTAAGATGAAGGAATGTAGGTTTGTGAAGTTGTTTCAAATGCAAGATTAGAATATTAGAACAACCACTTTAAAAGATGGACAGACACAGAGAACCACAAAAACTAAAACTCTCAAATCAGCTGAAAYCTTAACTCGAGAGCATTCAGCTGGTATCTGTTCCTGTTACATTTTTCAATTAAAAAAAAAAAAGAAGTCTGAGGAAGTTAGATTTCTGCATAAGCCCCTGCTTGTGATAGCATCAGCTGGAGGTGATGAATGATAAATGTTGAATGCTGTCTGTTATCAATTATCCAGCATTCTCCTAATTTTCATGGCCTTCAGGAAAAGATCTTTCTGATGCAGAAGTGAATACCTTGCRTCTTTCAGTATTTCATCTGAGGAGTGATCTATAAACTCAGCTAGCTGCAATTTTCATCRAGGCCAGTTTGGATGGGATTTTGARSAGCTTGGTCCAGCTGAAGGTGTCYCTGCTCATGGCAGAGGGGTTTGAAYAARATRGTTTTTAAGGACCTTTCTGACCCAAACCATTCTATGATTCTGTTAYTCTAAATAYACTTTTATTAGTTTCAAAAACTCTTCAAATAGTTAAACATGGAGAAGATGCTGTTACTGGTTAAAGTCAGTGCAGCTGAAATAAACATCCATACTCTTGCTGACTCAGCAAATGTGTCGGCTTTAATGTTAGCTGAGAAAAAGAAGAGTATTTCGTTAGATTGAGCTGCAAAAATCTGAGTAAACCTTATTAGCTACMCTTGATTTTTGTGAAAACTAAGCTACATCACTGAGCTATTTTAAGTGTGTCTGTCTCACTGTTGCTGTGTGCTCTCCTTCATAAGTCAAAGATCTCGACTACGGCCCATAAATTGAAAACAAAGAAAACAGCAAAATCTCACATAAAAAGTTAGCTCATCCTTCAGTCATGCCCATTAGAGAATAAAACATAAATAAATACCCCCAAAGCATAATTAGRTTCAGACACTGGAAAAGTTTCCTGGATTTATGGTGCATCTACAAGTTACGTATTAACCGCAGGAATCCTCCAGCGCTCCATTTCCATCCTGCTTGCAGTCACACATGGAGAGCTGCAGCTCACATGGAAGAGCTGCTTGCAAACTGGAGGTTAAACAGAAAAGTAGAGGAGGGGAGGGGAAAAAAGAGGTTTTTCTTCATTAGGTGACTCAAGTTGTAAAACTCTGAAAAAGATGGCAGGGTTCGTATAGCACAGTCCTGATTTTTTGCAGTTTTAAACACCAGCAACCTCYAAAGACTGCATATGGTGCATTCCTATCATGGGAGATGTAAAATTATAAGATAGATGTGACATATGAGAGCGGACACCCTCTGTGCAAGCTCATGTTGTACTTTTTTAACTTAAACATGTGCATATGGTGTAAGAAATAAAACGATTCATTATCAATGCAAAAAGAAKCTTTAAGGCAGTCTTAGCCCTTGCTTTGTGCATAAAACCTGCGTGAGATGGAGTTYAGGAGAAGTCTGGAAGACTGTGGCTGGTTCTGTGAGTTTTTCTAGTGAAACAGGGAGGACAAACATTACAATACTTTGAAGATTTTGCTGAGCACAAAGGCTGGCACTGCTGGTGAAAGGAAGATRAATTCCAGGAGTGGGATGTCGTGAAAGTGTTGCTAAACTCATCAAAGCCAAGCAATGAAAACCTTAGAAATGGAGAGCAATATTTCCTTAGTAGATGTTTCCATACAAAGAAAATTTTAGTTCCATGCARAGAATCCCCATGTCCGTATTTGGCATCTGTTAAAATCTTCACTTTTTCCTCTTGGTTCCCTTCCTCGCTGAAATGARTTATGTGATTTCAGTTTGTTCTCTGGGGGATAATATTTACTACATGTGACAATGTCTGCTTAGGAAAGGACTGGATCCAAGGCAGCTTGTTTTAGCTCCAGAGGACTGTGGTCTCTCCGAGTCAGGAAGGAGGTTGTAATTGATGAGGAAAAATAAGAAAAATCATATAATGTACAATAGCAGCCTGTGTTCAGCATGACCTGTTTGTACAGGGTCCAGCAAGGGCTTTCTGTGTCTCCTTTGGACTCACGAGTGTATTGCACTCAAGAGGGAGAAAAAAAGATCCATTTTTAGTCTTTCAGTTCACCATTGCCTTTCATTTCATAATCTCTTTTATAGACCCATATAACAAAATAAAATAAATAATAAAATTAATGGCGTTAAAACAATAACTCACCAGCATCTTTAATCACAGTGAGACACCTGAAAAGTGAAGTGACTTTCTCTGTGCTACACATTATGCCTGTGGAAGGGCTGGGAGGAGCCYAGCATCCTGTCTGTCCATCCCTGAGCTGGTCCCTCTCTCTCGGGTTTGGTTCATAACCTCATTATGAACCATATCAACACCAGCCTGACTTTTCCTATTGCCCCGAATGCTCTGACCTGGAAATTGCTTTTGTTCCCTACACAGGGAAAACGTGTGACTCCACTGTCAACTACTGTGAGTGCAACCCCTGTTTCAATGGTGGCTCCTGCCAAAGTGGCCTGGAGGGCTATTTCTGCCACTGTCCCTTCGGTGAGTGCCCTTCTCCYCTCCATCTCCCCTTCCCCTGTTCATATTTCTATTTCTTTTTACCTGCATAAATGATTTCTGGTTTGAAAACTATTCAAAGTTGGGAAAAACTGCATGTATTTAGAGGCTTAATTAACTTGTTCTTCTTTAAAAGAAAACTAAAAAGTGTTGTGATTGCTACAAATATTTAATTATTCCTAGTAGTAGCTCCTTTCTCTCTCACACAAAAACACAACAAGATCCAGCCAAACAATTCAGTGCCTGAAAATTAAAATGAATATTTCTAATTGGATGGATGGATGGATGGATGGATGGATGGATGGATGGATGGATGGATGGATGGATGGATGGATGGATGGATAGATAGATAGATAGATAGATAGATAGATAGATAGATAGATAGATAGATAGATAGATAGATAGATAGATAGAGACAACTGACCACAAGTAGAAAGGATGCTTGAAATATTAAAATCAAAACCATTGACTTCCTAAAGAAGAAACTCAACCACAGCTTGATCAGAGCTGAAGGACCTTCAGCACCAAGAATATGCAAAGTTCAGTCTGAAGGAGGAGKTATGATGATAACAAGGCTCTCCTGATGAATAGCAGGCACTTTTAGGAGAGCTGAAGAGTAAGAGCACTGTAAATAACATCAGTATTTTACATCAGAGAAGCATATAGTAGTGCCAAAATCRTTTCATAATTTTCAGAATTTAATTATCCCAGATTTGGTTTGTGGAATGGACCCAATAAAAACATAGAACAACATGGATATTTTAAGCTATCGTGACACAATTGCTGCAAGATTGATTCTGAATACAGATTAKTCCAGAATTATGATTGTTCATATGGAAAAATATGAAAGTAAGTGTGACAAATTAATAAAAAAATAGAAACACACAGAAAACATCTACAGTGTTTTAAGGTTGCTGAAAACCTTTTCAACCCCCTGCAGTTGTAACTAATGCTGAAAAAGTTTTTCTATTAACATATGGGATAATTTCACTATTCTCTTTTATTTTCTTGTACATTTCCTCAGGGTTTATTAATTTTCATTGTAGACATTGTCCATTGTAAATGTAACTAATATTCATAATTAAATCTCTTTTTTTTCCTCATTGTCTCTGCAGTTACAGAAAAATCAAGGGAAATTATGTGGCAGAGATCTGAAAAGAAGTATATAGATTGCACCAAAATATTAATATCAGTAACACCATGAGAAGGCACAATATTTTAATCACACAAATGCTTATTTAATAAATATAAAAAATGAACCACCCARTGAGAAACTGTTCAGACAACATGCACAGAGAGAAAAAGAAACTCCACTTGCAATCTTATTTCCATAACCAGATTAATAAAAGCCTGATGATAATTAACAGCYGTGTCTGACAGGGCTGTCAATTGGTGTTTTCCAAAGAAGCCATGGAGCTCCACAAAATGTTTTCCAGATTTATCTGCCTTTTGTAACTTGATTTTTTAGAAATACATGTACCTCAGCAGCCAGCTGTGGGAAACATCATTATTCTATCAGTTGTGAGTTTTTTTGGGGTGCCTTGAGGAGCCTGTGCCATGCCCAGAGCACATCTATGCTTTTTTTCCTGGGAGAATGCACAGGAAGGAGGAAAAAACTCTCTGTTTTTCCTTTTTTAGGTGTTTTTGGGAACCACTGTGAACTGAACAGTTACGGCTTTGAAGAGCTGTCSTACATGGAGTTCCCCAGCATGGATCCCAACAACAATTACATCTACATCAAGTTTGCCACCATCAAAAGCAACGCCCTGCTGTTGTATAACTACGACAACCAGACCGGAGAGCGGGCRGAATTCCTGGCCTTGGAAATAGCAAAGGGGAAGCTGAGGTTCTCCTACAACCTGGGCAGTGGCACCTACAAGCTCAGCACAGCCAAAACCGTGTCTGATGGGCAGTTCCACACCGTCATCGCCCGCCGCGCCGGAATGGTAAGGAACTCTAAAATGAGGGTTTAAAGCAGGTCCAGCAAATCCCTTTGGCTTCCAGGAGAACTCAGAGGAGCACAARATGAGTGACATTGCCTTTGCTAGCAGATCCTCCAACTTTGGGAAAAAGCTCCCTCAGTTTGTGCCTTATTCCAGCTGACTCAAAGCCCTGCGGTGGTTTGTTTAGTATGATGATGATAAAGTGTAATGGAAAAAATGTGTGCAAAATGCCCCGTGCTCTCAATGTGAAAAATGAGAGCCAGGAATAATTAATGACATAGATGGCTACGCACGAGACTAATTARCTGGTGTAGATTACAGGGATGATTATCAGGGAATGCTAATTAACCRCAGTAACTGCAAAAAGCCTCAAAATCATTTTTCTCAACATTTGGAAAATAAAAGTGGACAAACTTAAAATTCCAGGCATCCCTGACCTCCTTGAGCTAATTGTGAGATTTTTCCAGTCTCATCAGACTGGAAGCCTGGTATTCCTCTGTAGCATACATGGAAAGAGTTAAAAGGTGCTACATTAAGAGAATTCTTTTGAGGGGAAGGAGGAAAGTTACTTCTCTCTTTTTCCCCCAGAATGCATCTGAGGTGAGGAACCTTGCCAAAAACYGGGACAACTGATTGCCATATGCCTGGCACTCTGACCCCTCTCCTGCCTTCATTTTTTTTTCTCCAGTAAATGTTTTCTGTTCCTCTTCTCTCATTTTTTAATATTTCCAAAGTAGAACATAAACCAAATGCTCTTTGAATCCAAGCCAAGTTTTCTGACTCCACAATGTTTGAGTTAGAAATGAAATCAAATCTTTTTGCCATCCATAATCAGTGACWATTGCCCAACAGTTCCCTTTCTGAGGCAGAAATGGCCAGCATTCGTGGAATTCYGTATTCTTCCCATGTTTGAAATTAAAGTCACAGTAATATATGGTGGGGTTCCCTATTTTATTTTGTGTATTTCAAGCWAGTGATGAAGGGAATTAAAGCAATAAACTGTTCTACCCTGTGAGGCTCCTCCTGAGTCCTTTCAGAGARTCTTGAGCCTGAAACTCCATTTCAGTTCACAGTGATATCAACCTGATATCCTGATTTTTTTCTGGGTGTTGGTCTCTTCTCCYARATAACAAGYAACAGGACGAGAGGAAATGRCCTCAAGTTGCACCAGGGGAGGTTTAGATTGGATATTAGGAGAGAGCTCTTCCCCAAAAGGGTTGTCAAGCCCTGGAACAAGCTGCCCAGGGAAGTGGTAGAGTCACCATCCTCAGAGGTGTTAAAAAGAGGTGTAGATGTGGCACTTGGGGACATGGTTTAGTGGTGGCCTTGACAGCGCTGGGTTGGTGGCTGGACTCTCAGAGATCTTTTCTAACACAAAGGATTCTATGGTTCTGTGAAATCCCATCTTCAGCTGGATTTGCAAATCCAGTTTGTGTGTGTTTGTAGGATTTGTGCATCCAAATAAGRTGAAGGATAATTGTGATGTTGAGCATTGGCTTTGGTTCAACGTGCCTTGATATTGGATATCAATTTGCATCTTGCAGATTTAATAATTTACATCACAGCTTCCTAATGGTAAACCCCAAAGGTGCACCTTAATCTTGAGACACACCAGGTTCCCATTTTGGTAACTAAAATAGTATGTTACTTCTATAAATAAGATTTAAATGGCTAAGTATAGGGGCACACAGTAAAAGTTGCAACAAATAAATGAAGTACACTGAAGRAAAAAAAAAACAGAGAAAGAAAATGTTTTACTTGTCAGTGTGCCAGAKGACTGTAGAAGAAGAGAGAACATAAAAAGGGCTATTTATAGAAAATTTCAGCTATGAATGCTTAAGGCTGGAAGCAAACATTTAACACAACCTATACCTTTGTGTGGTTTGGGTTTTTTTTAATGTTTAAACCTTTTCAGTAATGTCAGCTGTTTACAAACACTCTGGGAAGAGAATCGCCTTTGTCTTACATATTTCTGCTACAGGAAAAATGTCTCCCAGGTGTCCAAAACTGCATAAAATAGGCCTCCTTCAGGATTCCAAATCTGTCATTTCCTACAGCACAGTGGGATTTTATCGGAAACTGGTAAAATCATTAAGTTGTCAGTCCTGAGCTATTGCAGAGTGACAGGATAGAAAGGCTCATAATGTGGCAAGGTAACTGTAGAGTAATGCTTAAGTAACAAGCAGGAACATTTGACTAACATTAGAAAATAAATTGTATGAACTCTGGTCCAAGTAAAATATATACTCAAATATCCAGCCSTTCAGCTGGAGCTGGAGCTTGGCTTGCAGAGCACATAGCAATGTAAGTTAGGGAGATTATGCTGATTGAGCTAAGAACAAAAAAACTCATTTCAGTTTTTGTTGTTGATGTTCTGWAGGAAAATATGTATGCATGTGGTGGCATACAGAGCAGCCAGCTTATTATTCTTTCTCTGAATTGTTTCATTTACACAGGGCTATAATCTGCTTTGGAACTGCAGACTGACATTTCTTGGGAGAAGCACTTTGTTCATTTGTATGGAAAGAAACTCAAGATAAGCTCTCATTAAAAATAGCAAATTGAACAATTTAGGCGTACTGTAGGGCACGATTTAGGGCTGAGAGCTCTGAATTTATTTGGTCAATACGGTGTGTCAGCCTGCAGTGTGCAGCACGGACAATCTGTGGGGATTTCAACAGGCTGTTGTTAGCAAACTTATTTGTAGGCAGGAGGAAAAAAAACCTCTGCAGAGTAATGATGTCCTGATAGCCAGTGCTGCTTGCTCAGCTCCCACAGAGTAAGCGAAATCAAAATATAAACCCAGGCGTTCTTCGAGGTGCTGTTTGATTTACATTTGCTGTAAAACTGTACCACACATCTAGCTGAAACATGAGGAGATGCACAACGTGGAGATTGTGTTTATTTTTCTGAARATTTGTTTTAAGGAATAACTAACCTTCAGGGTTGCTTGGTTGYTTTTTTTTTTTTTTATTTTCAGCGCATCTGTTATTAATAAATCACTGTGGGGACAATTCTTTGCTAAATAAGGAATAAAATAAAAACTCCTTTTTAAATCAACAGGAGTTATTTAATGATTTTAGTGACAGCTTTGACTTTAATAGATCACCAGTAGGAGTGCCATGAGTGCCTTCAGTGTAAGCAACTTGGATGAGCAGTCACAGAGTCACAGAATGGTTTGGGTTGAAAGGAACCTTAAAGATCAGCTGCTTCTAACCCCTCTGTCATGGACAGGTTGAGGCAACCTCATTGTCTGGGACTTGATGGCTTGGAGATAATAATAATAATAATTAACAGTAATACTGCTGTAAGTACTGGTGATGCCTGCTACTTCTCTAAACACCAGCCTGGTCCCACTCTAGGTATCCAGATATTTCTCCATTATCAAAGTGGAGATCCTTCATTACCTCAGTGTCAAAGGATTACCTTAAGCAGGTCCATTTGGTTACTTTTTGAGTTTTATTGAGTGGTTGATTATTATTTTTAACTCGTAATCTCARTGTTTCTACTCCCAGGGTTATTATTTTTAATCAGTAATCTCAGTGTTTGTACTCCCAGCTTTTGTAACATGCTTTTTGTCAAGTTCAATATGTTTAATGTCATGGTCAAGCCCCTGAAGGAACGCCCTTTGTGTGTGGAGGGAGCAGCTTTTTGTTCAGATTATCTGAACCATATAAGAGTRGGATACGGTACGAGCCAAAATAACTGCAGTTTCAAGGAGTAAAGCAAACAAATATGAGAGAAACCCTACCCAAATCTGAAAAAATGGTGTTCAACTGCTCCCTTCTAGCCAAGGCCTTGATATAATACATTTAAACCATAAATATTTAATAAATATTAATATTTAATGGGGACTAAAGCCTTGTAATACTCAGCATATTTGTGTGCATGCCTTTTGCAGGCAGCATCCCTGACAGTGGATTCCTGCTCTGARGATCAAGAGCCAGGCTACTGCACTGTTAGCAACGTTGCTGTTTCAACTGACTGGTAAATATTTCTTCATTTTGTGGGGTTAGTTTGGGATTTGGGTGGGATTTTTTTTGGAGTACAATTAAAAGTAAAATTTAAAAGAAACCTCTGTGTAAAGCCAGGGAAAGTTGGARTAATGATAAAGCTCCCAACTGTCAGTTTCTTCCATCTTTGCAGAAGAAAATTGAATTTTTTACATGTACTGCTACTTGCTAGCAGTAACTTGGAGCTGGATCACAAGGAGTTTGCTCAGAAATCCCAAGTTCTCTACACCATCTCTGTCTCCAGGCTCTGGTGGCAGTCAAGTAATGTGCTCTGCAGTGTAAATAAGATCTATTGCCTAATGATTTGGGGTCATGTGTTTAAATAAACTGCACCTCTCATTCCTCGTAAAGATATAGAAAATTAAATCACCTGATCACTGCTGTCTTTAGAAAAAAAAAAAAGTAAGGGTAATTACTTTGACATTGTTTTCATGTGTTTTCTTTACAGTGTTGAGTTCATAAACAGTGTCCAGTAAAGAAAGCAAACTTTATTTCTGTTGTTTACTGTAACTAACTCACCAACCTTTGGGTCACATCTTTGGAGATAATAACACCTTTAATCCCAACCACTTTGGCTGATTCCTTGCAATAATCACAATCATATTTTCTGCCACAGAAGGGCTCCCCTGCTAGCAGAGGTGTTACATCTTTGTAAAACAGTGAGTTATCTTCTTGCTATTGAAGTATCCGTCTACAGTCTGAAATACAATTGGGTAAAAAACCTTATTTGTTAAGATCTCAAGGACACTGCTCAGCCAACAGAAATTTTAACATGCAAACTGAGCGTGAATTTAGAGTCATACCCTCTGCAACTATTCAAGAGCTATTGATCTCTCTGTCTTCCCTTCTGAATGTGAAACCCAATTTTTCTAAGAGGAATTTTAGCCGTGGGCTGTAGCTGGTGGTTGCAGTTCCTTTGCTGTCACCACTGTCCTAATGTCTGGTACTGATGAGTTATTTTTCTCTTTTGAAGGACTCTGGATGTGCAGCCAAATCGAGTTACTGTTGGTGGCATCAGGTCCATAGAGCCCATCCTTCAGAGGAGAGGACAGGTGGAGAGCCACGATTTCGTGGGCTGCATAATGGAGTTTGCAGTCAATGGACGGCCCCTGGAGCCCAGCCAGGCTTTGGCAGCTCAAGGAATCCTAGATCAGTAMGTCTGCTATATGTGGTGTCAAATGGAGCCCCTTTGCAATAAAGGAAGCTGTCAYGAGTGCTATTCCATTCAGACCCCGACAGATATTCCATGGTAGAAAAATAATGACTGTAGAACCTGCTGTAAAATGTGAAAAATGCAGGAAGAAAGTGATTTTAGATGAAAGGTTCGCAAAAGATTATAGAGCCTTCCGAAAAGGAACATCATTACATTTCTATTGAGAATGATTATTCAAGTTGCTTTGCAGGCTGCAATTGAGTAGCCCCTGTTCTTKGGTTTCTTTATAAATTCCACCTGGGTTTGACTGTGCTCATACTGTTTGCTAACCCTCCAGTCCCTTGTATTTCCTCTTAATCCACCATGTCTGTTCTCTCACTTTGCCTCTCAAGTATCACTGAATTTCCCTCATATCCTCTGAGCGCTCTTTCAGAAATGATGAACTATCTGATTCTATTGTTTTTTTCCATCTCAGTATTTGAAGTCGCAGATGTAGTAATAATGTCAGTCTTCCACACAGATTTCCTAGCTCATGCTTCCTCTCTCAACCTCCAAGTTTGCACTGTTTGTTGTGATATGAAGGCTCTGGCAGTCTGCAGCATAAAAAGACCTAAAAGAGTTCCTTCTCTCTTGAATAACTTCATAGGAGCTTGGCTGTCTGAATTCCTTCCTCTCTTGTAAGACTGTTACAACTTGATACTGAGAGTTGGGATCTGCTTAGAAACATGTGCTGTCTGTAGAGAGTCTTAGAATCACAAGATGGTTTGGGTTGGAAAGGCCCTTAAAGATCATCCATTTCCAACTGCCATGAGCAGGGACACCTTTCACTGGACCAGATTGCTCAGAGATTCATCCAACCCGGCCATGAACATTTCCAGGGATGGGGAGGGGAGCCATTTTTGCATCTCTGAGGGGAAGAAAGGGAGTACCATTTAAACAAAGGACATTTCCCTGCACATTTGTTCTGCTTCTTTGTGTGCACGTTTTTCAGCATCTACTTTTCCAATTTCTTTCAGGTGTCCCAGACTGGAAGGCACCTGCACTACCAGCCCCTGCCAACACGGTGGCACTTGTGTCGATCAGTGGTCGTGGCAGCAGTGTCACTGCAAGGATGGACTGACAGGAAAGCACTGTGAAAAATGTATGGGCAAATATGTTTCACTGTCTTTCTCTTTAATGTACACCCAACTGTGGCTCAACCAAAGGCCACTAAGAGGTTCTTTTCAGGGCCGCGGGATAATGAATTTTATAAAATAATGGAAACAAGCAGCATGTTCCCTCTTAAGTGGTTTAAAAGTCCACAATGGACTGTTGTCCTTTCATGAGCYAAAAATGGCAACAACTTAAATGCACCTTAATGTCTTCTGGTCTGTATATCGCATTTCAGGTAATTTGCACTCATTTAACTCCTGCCTCCCAATAACATACAATCCATAACTAAAATAAAGGTATCCCATAGGAGGGGTTTGTCTGCTGTGGGGAGGTAAGAGGGTAAGCGAAAACCCCTTCATGTAAACACTGAGTTCATGTGCTTATGGCTTCTCCAAACTAAAGTCCTTTTCATCAAATTGACTGTGGATTATATGCAAGAAAATATTGTAAATGTAAATGAAAACAAGGCATTTACGCTCGGGGGTGATTAACTCTCGTAGGAATAGCCCTGTAAATCAATACAGGATTGTCCAGGAGAGCAAAGTGATTTATTTCCTTGTAGTTGTAGTATAATGACTGGGGTTTSCTTTTTTATGTGTCCCATTATTGTTTAGCTGATTTATATGCTTTTATTGCACCGGTTTCCAGAAGAATTTAGCAATAATTTTAACAGCATTTGGTAGTCAATGCTCTGCCTTCTTTATTCACTTTTTTTTAATGCCATAACAAATAGAAAGTCATTATCTCTGCCCTGAAGAGCTTAGAGTTCAATATATCATGAAACCCTGCTTGCAGTAATGGAAACAGTAACATCCCTGGGAAGGAATTACCGTTCTGAGAGCCAAATTTTTTTTCCCTCCTCCCTCACTTGTTCCCTAGCGAGTTTTAATTTACTATTGACTGATAGCAGCAGTAAATTACTCGCACACTCCCACTCTCAAACGCACATTCTGGTCAGAGCCAAAGAATRGAGGGGCTGCAGTTGCCATTGGCTCCCGCTCGCCCCTTGACCTGCTCTGAACTCGCTCTGTGCTCCGAGAGCGGATGGTCACAGTCAGGCTGGGGCTGTAATGCTAAAAACTCCCCTGTCCTTGTCCCAGATGTCACTGCTGACACAGCCCTGTCGCTGGAGGGAAAGGGCCGCCTCGACTACCACATGAGCCCCAACAAGAAGCGTGACTACCTGCTGAGGCTGGGGGCTCGCCCGGCCGTGGAGCGCCTGGAAGTGAAGTTCAGGACGAGGAGCGAGAACGGCGTTTTACTGCACGTCCAAGAGAGCAGCAACTTCACTACTGTGAAGGTGAGATTATGGCTAATGCTGGCCTTGATTTGATTGGACTGCCTCGTGCGCTGCGATCGAAATCGCCTTTTTCCATTACTCTTGCTGTTTCCTTTATAAAATATTAGCTCTTTAACTGAGGCTAGGCAATGCTCCAGTATCATTCGTCTTCTCAACCRTTCCCTTGCTATTTGCCAAGGTATCAGTAGATCTTGATGGTTTTGTATCTAATCAGTTTTGTCCAGACTCCAAATAGTGACTGTTTTAGGGCGGCGGGAATGGTACTCATTGCCATGGTTATTATCATCATTACACTTTACAGAACAAATCATTTTGCTATTGGCCTTTTATCTGCTGATTTTTTGAGCCTTGAACCCAGACCTTCCTTAAGCTAGCAAACGATTGCCAAAAAGTTTTCATTAATTCCTACCAACATGGCTCAAGCTTATCAAACTAGGAAGTGAGGGATAACTCGAATTCATGAGGTTACTCACAGACCAGTGTCCAATATCAAATTATTTTGGCATGCRTAGCTGAATTAATGCTTCAAATGCCACACTGTTTTGGATTTTTTTGTTAGTTTTTAAGTTTTTTTCCCCTAAGAGCTTATTGCTGCAGAAGTTACCTTTCTCAAGAGAAAGCAATGGTTTGGTTGCTGGCAATGACTCAGTCCATTTACTCATAACTCCAAATGAGTACAGCAGTGATATTGGCAAGCCCCTTTATTGGGTTGGTGTAAGCTCCAAGTTTCCTTGACTGCTGCAAGGCTTTCCAAGTTTTTCTTCCCTGACTTTTAGAGAAATTCATACAGAAATTCACACTTTCTAAGCTTCAGCCCCATGGATGTTCTCCACCTGCCTGGTCCGAGTTCCGAAGCTTTCCTGACACACCGGCTGCRTTCAAGAAGCATGTCTGCACTACTTCCCTGGCATATGCTTTTACCACATCATTTCACAGGAAGTTTCTGCCTCACTTGTATTAGCAGATAAGATCTCATTATTTTGGCTTCTGGAGAGAARCAACCTTTTTGTCCCCCCTAGTAGAATTTGCTAGGGTGAGCTCTCCAAGCATTACTGAAAAAAAAAGAGAATTGTCTTTCCTGGCTAAAAGCACCGGTGCTGTGTTTATGCAAACACTCTTGTTATTGTTAATATTGGTGAGGTTATACAAGCAAGCAGAGGGTGTCAGGTCCCAGCCCCAGCTGTGCAAAGCCAGAGAGCACAGGTTTGCCTGGTAACAGATGCACAAGTTTGAGGCAGGAGAGGTAACATCAGCCTGCCGATTGTTGCCAAGCTGTTCCCAGGTGATGCTGGTTAGTAAAACTGTAGTAATTTAACTATAGCTAGTACAGTATGGCCTCTGCACTGCTCCTCATGCACCCAGCAGTATTTCCCTCAGTGGTGGCCCGAGATGGCAGTGAAGCCAACCCAGCAAAGGTCTCCTTGTCATCTACCCCTGGTGCAAAAGTTGTGCTTTAGGGACTTGTGTTTGCAACTCATCAGTCTTCAAAGCACCATTTTATAACTCAACTGCTGGGTCTTTTAGTATGCTTGTTATCCAAAGTATTAGCACTCAGAGAAAACTTGCCATCTGTTTTGAATATTGAACCGTGCTAGGGAGAAGCTACGAGTCCTGTGGCTGCTTCCATGCCTGCCTATTTTAGTCCTTGCAGATGACTGGTTTTGGTGTAGCTGGGATTGGGGTAAAACTAAAGAAGTGGTAATAAATCAGACCCACTGAGATTGTGAGCAGTGACCAGTCATTAAATGATGGATGTAAACGCCACCCCAAAGAACCCGATATAAAGGCATCCTTAATCCAGGAAAGATACAAAATATTTCTGGTTACATTACATAATGGTCAAATTCAGATGGAAAATGCTTCCTCCAAAATCCACCACAAGGAAAAATCTGCCATCAGATTAAATTAGCATAAATAGAGCTCTAAGATTGTGAATTGTGTGGATATAGGATGTGGATTATGTGTTACCTATATGGCTAACAACCTGGCACAGATTGCCCAAGGAAGCTGTGGATGCCCCATCCTGGAAGTGTCCAAGGCCAGTTTGGATGGAGCTTTGAGCAACCTGGGATAGTGAAGCTGTCCCTGCCCATGGAACTGGATGATCTTCAAGGTCCCTTCCAACCCAAAGCCTTCTATGGTTCTATGCATGTATCAAGTTGTAGGAATTAATCAGACCATAACCCTTTTATTTTTTAAGTGACATCCCATTCAACAAGCTATAAATCTGTAAAGGCTAGTGTTCAGTTTTAAGACAAATGAAAACCAATTTGTTCAGTAAATGAGACTTGTTCAGTAAATGAAACTTTACTTGAGTAAAGTTGAGTCAGCCTTGTAGTTGGGAATATGTTTGGTGTAGTGGTTCATTCTTTTCATTAGAATTCTACTTGTCAGTTGTTCAGCCATTCAAATAAAACCCAGAAATGTGTGTTACTCAATACTGTCAGCATCAGCCTTTGTTTCAAATTTAGAAACATGTTCTGCTTCAAGGCACCAAGAAGAACATTCCTTATCTTTTCCTGCTCAAAGCAGTCATGGACCAGTCTTGTCTCCGGAAATTTTCTTTTCCAAATGCCCCATGTATTTTATTTGAGTCTGTTAGCATTAGTCACATGCAATTCTAAAGAAACTGAAATAGGGTTAAAAAATCATCAATCAGAATGGAAAATATYGGTTACTGACAGGTAAATAATTCTACAGTTCTTTTCTTAGGTGGAGTTAAAAATTTGGATTCTGTGCTCAGGCTTCCCTTAAGCTTGGAAGGTATTGTCTGATGTGGTGTATTTCCTTCTGTTTACATAAAGACCAAAATACAAGGCAGCATTTTTATGGCACATAAAAGACCAAATAAGACATAACAAACCAATYACAGGTTGCAGACATAAATATATGTATATATTCGGCTCAGTCAACCTTTTTATAAGTGATTGTGGGAAATGGTGTTTAATATGTTTTAATAGTCTGTGTGGCTGTGTGGGATTTTCCAGGGGCTGTGATAGTTTAGACACATGCCATTTGTAACAAAAGCATCCCTTCTCTGAGGGCAGCTTTATCAAACAAAACATTTTCAAATAGTCCAAATGACTGCCTTCATAAATGGAGTGGATGCACATATGAACCATTGTATCCTCCCTCCAAATGGAATACGTGCTAGATGCATTCATSCAGGCTGCTGCCAAGACATGAGCGTGGTCTTACAGCCTCGTTAAAGCTGGAGTGTCTGAACAAAGTCCTCAGCTTGCATCACTGGAGAAGCAGATCCAGAACATTTAACAGTTTCTGGAAGCGAGAGCAGCATTCTTGTAGCCGGTGTGTCACCTCGCAGTTCTTCCCAGGTGAACATTATTTTTCCTGGAATAAAGGATACAAAGTTTTGAGAGCTTTGAGCAGACCTGGGGCTCTGACCTTTCCTGGACTCTGCCTCCTGCACGTCCTGCACGCTCACATTATACATCTCAGACTGACCAAGCCACAATGGGGAGCACAGGATGGAGAGCAGTTGTTCCATTTTCCATGTGTGACCAAACGTGCAGAGCACAGAAGGAAACTTGCAGCAGGTTCCAGAGCCATTCTACATGAGCTTACATGTGTCTGTACATCCTCAGGAGGTCAGCCAGCGTATTTATGCAATGTTTGAGAAGCTGGCAGAGTTGGATGTTGGGGATTCTTTTTAAGCTCTTACATCTTARATGCAGAATTTGCACTGATCTCATTTTGGGATCATAATAAGAGGTTTGAAATCCTGCATCTCATGATTCTGTAGAATTGTGAGGTGTCATTCCTAAGAGAAAAAGCCAAAATGTTCTTCCTTTTTTCCCTAGCAGTTCACAAGTTGTCAAGCAGTTTGCTCAAGTGAGCACTATTTGAAAATTCTCACCAAATAATGCACTTTGAAGCTCTTCAGAAAGTTTTCTGAAATACAACTGCTTTTTTTCAAAATACAAATTAGCAGAAAAAAGATATATTAAATGGCACTCTTGCTCAATCCCTGCCATGCCTTATGCATTCCTACTGTGTCGTAATAAAAACTGGATGCAATTTTCTTGGGCAAGGACAACATCTGTTCACTGTGCAAAGCATTTTCCACACTTGCCTTGAAGAGGGAGGAAGARTTATTCTTTCTCTGGTTAAAAAGTGCTGTCATGTGCATGTCCTTTAGCTGCCTTCTCAGTAGGCTTTTCTCTTGWGAGATTAGCCAGGCAGTGAGTGGATAGCAACTCTAAGCAATTTTTCTGCAGAAGTTTCTGCAATGTGATTTATTTAACTCTAGACAAATTTTTATTGCTAAATAATTAACGCCTTTTAGTACAAAGCAATTATTTGGGGGAAAATACACCCACCTAGCTTTCTGTTGCACCAAAGCCATATTAGAGGAGCTGTGTCGAGTATTTGGCTACGTGTGTGTAGAAGTTRCGTGATATCATTTTAAAATCATGCTTTATGTGTTCTTCTGAGCAGATAAAAGCGGGGAAGGTGCACTACATATCCGATGCTGGAGTTGCTGGGAAGGTGGAAAGGAACATCCCTGAGGTGTACGCTGCTGATGGCCAATGGCACTCGGTGCTCCTGGAGAAGAACGGCTCTGCCACCATCCTGTCSGTGGACAGGACCCACAGCCGGGACATTCTCCACGCCACTCAGGACTTTGGGGGGCTCAATGTCCTCACCATTTCTCTGGGAGGAATTCCTTCCAGCCAACCTTTCAAGAGCACAGTTGCAGGTAATTTTTTTTTTTTTTTTTATTGGGTGCACATAAGCACATTCGAGTCTCTGTTTGCTTTGAGGTTACCCAAAGACTGCAATTCTTTATCAATAATTAGTATACATCTATCCTTTGCCAGAAAAAAGTGCAAATTGAATGAGTAAGCATTACAAACTTTGTTCCTTTAGTACACACTGCAGGCTTGCTGTTTCCAAAAGCAGGCACTCCATCTGCAGGGCTTTTTGGAGCCTGGGGAGTGGCTTTGACTGCTTGTCTGTACATCAGTTGCTATAATTTTGTTGCCCTAATGGAGAAGAAAGGAACTATTCTTTACATGAGTCAGAATCTGGAAAATCAAGGCAAATCTTTTATTTGGGCAAAAATGCTAAAGAGAAACTTTGTAGGTATTTGATAAGTGCTGCAGGATTTAGCCTGTTATTACTATGATTAAAATATTTTCTACAACTCCAGCTTCCTCCTGCTTTATCATGCTGTCAGATGAAGAAYAGGATTTATTTCTAAGTAACAGAAACTAAGGATAATAAGTATCCACCCTCTGACTGATGTCTAGCTGCTGAGATGTAAATCAGTCTCCCTTAAGAGTTAAAGTAACTGTCTCAAACCCTGGCAAAAAAAAGTAGATAACACATATTTGATATAATTTCCCAAGTGCTAACTAAAGATGGAAGTGATTTTTAGCTGCAAAACGTGAGATAGTCCAGACAATACAGATGTATTTTTCACATATTTTYATATTGAAAAATCTTCCTGGCTTCAGGAATTGTGACCAGATAAAGTATTTTTGAGCGGAGCAAATTCACACTTTACACTTGTGTATTGTGAATTTGTATGAAATGTGGTAAGAAATCATGTGGATGCTGTGCTGACCTTTATCCTTTTTACATGTATGTTTTATGAGCAGTGTGTGCATGGAAAAATCAGAGGCTTGTAGGAAAGCTGGAACAAGGAAAATTGAGGACACTAACCTCTCACCACTGCCCAAAGCTGTGGCAGACAAATTAGGAATGTCTGGCTTCCATTAAGCACACACAGTYCAAAATCCCTTATTCATATGATTTGATTGTATTTTAATATTGGATTACGTTGTGTACGACATACCAAGGATTTACAAGGCASTGGTATAAAACTCTGCATGAACTCAGAGCTGAAAATATCTGCAGAGYTGTTAAAGGCAGACAGCACACACGAGTGACAGTTCCAGGGCTCTGAAGTTGGTGTGCCCAATAAAACTTCCAAGTCTATATGACGAGTTCCCTGTTGTTTATCCCATCACACCACTGCTGTAAGGAGCCACCATGCATGCAGCAAGGTGATCGTCGCTCTTGCTTGGCCTCTCACCTTCTCACCTGAACCTAAATGTTCAGCCCTGAGGATGATAAACCTTTAATACCATCTCACRTGACTCAAGTCTATTTGCTATTTAACGTTCATCTCTGTGTAAGGTTTTGCCAYGGCAGGGATCACCGTAAGGTTGCACTGCCTCAAAACCCTTCTGGAAAGGATTTAGTCTGGGGAGCACACAGAATTATTAGGCTGGCAAAAGAATGGATTTTCCTGTGACCTCACTCAACCACTGCACAGAGCCTGGGGAGAATTCCATCTCCCTGGGCTCTGACAGCACTAAAACTTGTGGTGGGGTAGCACTGCAACCAAGGCATGGRAAGTTTGGGAAAAGGCCACTCAAAATTCAGGATATAAAAGCATTGCTGTGAATTTAAGAGACGGTGAGACAGGAGACTTAGCAGAAGCACGACAGACAAACTCAAATGAGTTAAATGAGCTTAGCACAGCCAAGCCAGATGCCCAAGGGTTTTTCTGTGGAAATGATAAGTTTTGGAAAGATGGGAAAATCAGGAAACAAAAGCATTTCAGTATATGGAATGAAGCTGTTAGAAGGAATTATTTGTTCAAATGTAATTCAAAGACATTAAGTACTGTTAGAATAGATGTCTCCCTCTGGTAACCATGTGAGTTCTTATTTAAATGAAGAGTGGAGCCTGTACTGTGCTGTTGACACACCCAGCTTTCAGCTCCAACGTGACTGTCCCTTTTTCCCGCAGGCTTCGACGGCTGCATCTCCTACATCAAGTACGGCGAGGAGAGCCTGCCGTTCTCCGGGAAGCACAGCCTGGCCACGCTGTCCCGGACGGACCCGTCGGTGAAGATGGGCTGCCGYGGCCCCAACGTGTGCGCCAGCAGCCCGTGCTGGGGCGAGCTCATGTGCGTCAACCGCTGGTTCTCCTACCAGTGCGTGCCGCCGGGAGCCTGCGCCTCCGCGCCCTGCCTGAACGGCGGCAGCTGCGAGCCCRGCCCGCACGGCTACACCTGCAGCTGCCCCGAGGCGTACGTGGGACGGAGCTGCGAGACGCTGCTGGCCTGCCTGGGTGTGCTGTGTGCCCCCGGACACGAGTGTCGGGCGGCAGCAGGCGGCGGTCACGCGTGCCTCCCGTCCCCGCAGCCCGCCGAGCTGGCGCTGCCGCTCTGGGCCGTGCCGGCCATCGTGGGCAGCTGYGCCACCGTGCTGGCGCTGCTGGTGCTCAGCCTCATCCTCTGCAACCAGTGCCGAGGGAAGAAGGCCAAGGGGCCCAAGGAGGAGAAGAAGACCAAGCAGAARAAGAAGAAAAAGGGGAGCGAGAACGTGGCGTTCGATGACCCCGACAACATCCCGCCCTACGGYGACGACATGACCGTCAGGAAGCAGCCCGAGGGGAACCCCAAACCCGACATCATCGAGAGGGAAAACCCTTACCTCATCTACGACGAGACGGACATCCCRCATGCCGCCGAGACCATCCCCAGCGCCCCGCTGGCATCCCCCGAGCCCGAGATCGAGCACTACGACATCGACAACGCCAGCAGCATCGCCCCCTCCGACGCTGACATCATCCAGCACTACAAGCAGTTCCGCAGCCATGCKCCCAAGTTCTCCATCCAGAGGCACAGCCCGCTGGGTTTCGCCCGGCAGTCCCCCATGCCCCTGGGCGCCAGCAGCCTGACCTACCAGCCCGCCTACGGGCAGGCCTTGAGGACGGCRTCCCTGAGCCACTCGGCGTGCCCCACTCCCAACCCCCTGTCCCGGCACAGCCCCGCGCCCTTCTCCAAGTCCTCGACATTCTACAGGCACAGCCCGGCCCGGGAGCTGCACCTCGCCATCCGGGAGGGGAGCCCGCTGGACGTGCACGGTGATGTCTGCCAGCCTGGCATCTTCAACTACGCCACCCGCCTGGGGAGGAGAAGCAAGAGCCCGCAGACCATGGCGGGCCACAGCTCCCGCCCGGGAAGCCGCCTGAAGCAGCCCATCGGGCAGATCCCGCTGGAGACGGCTCCCCCGGTGGGGCTGTCCATCGAAGAGGTGGAGAGACTGAACACSCCGCGGCCCAGGAACCCCAGCATCTGCAGCGCCGACCACGGCCGCTCCTCGTCGGAGGAGGACTGCAGGAGGCCCCTGTCGCGGACGCGCAACCCGGCCGACGGCATCCCCGCGCCCGAGTCCTCCTCCGACAGCGACTCGCACGAGTCCTTCACCTGCTCCGAGATGGAGTACGACCGCGACAAGCCYGTGGCCTACACCTCCAGGATGCCCAAGCTGTCCCAGGTCAACGAGTCGGACGCGGACGACGAGGACAACTACGGCTCCAGGCTGAAGCCGCGGCGGTACCCGGGGCGCCGCGGGGAGGGAGGGCCCGTGGGGGCGCAGGCGGCCGGAGCTGCCGACGGCTCCCTGCCCGGGAAGCTGGGCCAGCAGGCAGCCAGCTTCAACTGGGACAACCTCTTGAACTGGGGCCCGGGCTTYGGGCATTACGTGGATGTTTTCAAAGATTTGGCATCGCTTCCTGAAAAAACAGCAGCAGCAGCAGCAGTGGGTGACGACAGCAAAGGTGGCGCGGCGAAGGCTGTGCCCAAGGAGGGGGAAGCAGAACAGTACGTATAGGCTTTGTCTCCTGGCATCGCCTCCGTRCAAAGCCACGGGGAACTGCTCGAACCATTATATGGTTGTGGAAAAGCCAAGGTCAGCGTCTGAACCCCAGGCCAGTCTGGTTGGAGGAGACTAAAAATAATAACCATTATGCTGCTGAAAGAGACTTAAGACATTTTTAATTTAATTATGCTCGGATGAATTTGTTTCTCCTGCATGCGTTGTACTTGCAAACCAGATATTCGGCATGCAGCCTTTGGAAAGGGTTTCCTATTTACATTGTTTGGTTCGTGGTTCTTAAATTAATAATGCTTTGTTCTGAAAAYGAACTAATTTTTTGTTCCAGTTGTGAAGGATGTGCATATTGTCTCCAGCTACTAACATGTTTTACGATGCAAGAGTATTGAGGATTTAATGTTCCTTMAGAAGCTCGTGGAAGTGAAATGGTGAATGAAGGAATTGCAGTAGTAAGGTGTCTCAGAAAATGTCGTTACCATATCCTGCAGTTGCTCACATGTGACTTTCTGGATGAAATCAGCTTGAATAATTGCTGGCAACAGTGCTTGCTGTAAGTCTTATTCCATACAAGAGGTGCTAGAAGCAGCTCAAGCCAGTCAGCACTTTAGGAGTTTTTTACCTTTTCAGTTTGTTTATTTGTTTGTTTCAGGTTTCTTTCTTTTTTTTTTTTTTTTTTTTTGGTTTTCTTGACAAAGTTGTGTGAGAGCTTCTGAATCTCTATATTTTTGGGGATGCTTACTTAATCCTGGTCCCTTCCTGCCCCCCCTCAGTGGTTCCTGATTGTCACTTGTCAGCCCAGCCTGGCTCGCAGCAGCAGGAGCGAGGGACAAACCCCTCCATTCCTACATCTCCTGGCCTCTCAGCTTGGCTGCTGCTGCAGCCTGTGCTTCTCCCCTGGTTCCATTTTCCCATCTGTGCCGTGGAAAAGTAGGAAAAACACTTATTTCCCTGCCTCACAGGGGTGCTGTGAGGGCTAATTAGTTAACTCGTCTGAAGTGCTTCGACATTATCAAGCACTATAATAAGTATTATCATAATTATTATTACAGCACTGCCTAGCCTCTGTGACCTTGGAGTGGCATTTTCTGCATTCTACAATTTTYTATGGTGGAAACTTTGAAGAATTATTTATTGTATAGAAAATTACTGCACTCTAGCATTTTGCAGCGGATATGAGGGAAAACTACTTGTAGATTCATTAATGTAGCTTTATCTGTTGCCCCCAATTCCCTGAAGTTGTAGGTAAAATAGAACTTCACAAAGCCCTTACATCTTCATGCAGATCTGATGAACCTATTGTACTGTGTAAAAACTTCAATTTTTTTGTTTTGGTTTTTTTTTTTACCTAAGCCGTGTTTTTATATCAATATTTTCCTATGCTGAATAGTTTTCTTACTTTCAGGGAAGGTAAGAAAAATACTTTTTTTACATTTGTTACTTATGTAACATCCATATTTTTCACATTTTGATAAAATTGTAACATACTGTATGCTTTCTACCTGTAAATGCCAATAATAGAATTAAAATATTTATTTAAAATCTTTAGTGTGTGTTACTGGAAACCTTTTGTCTTTTCTCTTTCTCTAATTTCCACTCCTTGATCTTCACTTTTGAGGTTTTAAGTTATAAACTTTTTAAGTTATGTGAGGTTTTTAATTAGAAAGTAGGTTTTAAGAAGCAAGTAGCTATCTCAGGAAGACAGAGGAGTATCATGAGGTTGATGAGCCTAAGGTAATGTCAAAAARTACCAAATCTACTTTCCTATTTCTAATAACATAATAAAAACKGTATTTTAGTCCATAGGGCTTTATCAGCAGCAACTGGTTTCATGTTTTTTAACCCAAATTTTCACCTCTGCTCCAAGCTGGAGCTTTCCAGTACGTGAACAGCAAGGAGTGTGAGAACAAGAGCTTTCTGTCATAAAGCAGCAGTTGAACAATAAATAACTGCATTCTTTTATACTTACAAAGGGATAAATCAGGCTTGGACAACTTCTTGGAGAATGCAGAGAGGGRAAAAGTTAAGGCTTCAGGCAAGAGGTGAGTTCTGGGGTTAGGTTTTGAATTAGTGGTAAATGTAAAGAACTTAGGAAAAGGACAGCAATTCAAGGGAGGGGTTTATGTGTTATATGCTTGGTTTAGTGTTTATTTTGTCTCAAAACTGGCAATTAGGAACCAGCTCCTTTTGTCTGATAGTGCTCCCAGCATCATCGTGCCCCACAAAAGTGCRAAGATAATGGGCCAAAGTAGCCCACATTGGTATGTAAGTAGTTTCATCTGAAATAACACGAGATCCACAAGTGATTTCAGGGTTTGAGGAGCTGCTGTAATTAAACATCTGTTAAAAAGCTGTATGTTTAGTTTGAATATTATCCCTTAATACAAACTGTACCGCATCCAAGCAGTGATTTTAATAACACATGAAAACTTTAACAAATGAAAGCTTTTAAACCTAACACCGAACATATTGAGGGCTGTGTTATGCCAGTTGAGCGTTGTGAAATTATTGAAAAGTTTGGCTAAAGGAGAATAATGTGCAGTGTGGACTTGCACAAAATGCATGTCATAACTGCAGCACATTTAACAATTTATCGAGTGGTAGTGCATTCCTTGACATTTTGACACTTTGTGGTAGACAAATGTATATTTTACTGGTTTCCCTGTTTGTGAAAAGCATAGAGATGATTTTGACACTTAAACATATGATCCATTTCTGCCATTTTTTTATAATTCTTTCATGATGAGGATCAGCCGAGGGTTCCAAGTGAATCATGCAAAGCAATCATCCGAAGTTACCAGTTGTGAGGGAGCAAACAGCACAATTCCCCCAGTTCATCATCAGAGCTGCAYGCTCCTGTTTCAGGGTCTGGAATGTATTATAAGTCATAAATATGGGGGAAGAAAAACAGTCTGTCCCCCTCACTGTGGTTCACAGGAGYCTCCAAACACATCTCATGTCAGCAATTTGTCTCTGACCTGTCTTTGTGCTGGTAGGTTGCTGAACTGCTGTTGCCATCTCAGATGGAGATGTTTTCTCCCAAGGATGTTACTAATGAGATGAAAAYGGACAGGGAAATGGCAGATTTACATGGCATTCTCTTGCTTAGCTATGAAAAGGAAAATATAGGAGTACTGTGTTCTGTGGCAGAGGGATAGATGAATAAAAGAAGTGAAACCTAGATTAATCTTATTCAAGATTTTCAGTATTTTTAATGGAAGTTTTGTAACTGTGAAACCATGAAATTAATGGCAAAACACATTACATTGAAAAGTAACATGAAGYCCCACATTTTGGTGAAAACATCCAGTGTTTTGCTGTTCACCATTTGATCCTTTTCCATGGCCATTGGTGTATTCATTCCACCATCTTTCCCTCTGCTCTGTGAAGTCAGCCCTTTGTTCCTTCCAACGTGCTCACTTTGTTTTTCTATAAACAGCACTCCATGAGGAAGACTGACAACGTGGTGAGGTTGCCAGTCATCATCACAACCTGTCTGTTTTTAAAATTYAGATATTTGCACTCAGCTGGCCTTTCCTATGTTTTGCATGAACCTCACCTTCCATTYAGCCATCCTGTAAGAGGTTTTTCCAGCAATAAAATGTGGTTGGATTCTTAGTCATTTTACAGCCTTTCTGCAGTAACTTTGAGGTTTCATCCTTCTCTACCAACATGATGCCTGCTCGGAGCTTGCCTTCATTTCTGTCTCACACAACCTCCCCACTCCTTTCAGGGCAGATTCAGCAAGGTGTTGCTTTCCTTCCTCCCTTACAACTGGCAGCACACCTGGYAGGAGGTGGAGGATGAGTAGAAATGGCTCCTCCTAACCACTGGGAAACAGGAATGCAAAAATATATTCATTTAACTTTAATTTACATCCTCTCAGAGGGAGCATTTTCAGGGAGTCACCAAACAGTGTCAGCTGTTCCCTCGGAGCACTGTGACTCTTTGTGCAGCCCCTCGGACCAGGAGCAGGGAAAATAAACAGGTCCCTGTCTTCCCATTTCTTGGTTTATTTCCCCTGAGCCTGATTCAGTAATTAGTGTTTCTCCTTGCGTATCTAGTGCAATTAGCTAGAACAGCAAATTAGGGAATAAGAAATAAACATTAATACAGAGAAACAAACATTAATATAGGAGAGCATAGGGGATGAGAAATGGATATTGATGAACCWTTCAATAAGCACATTTTGGTGCAATAATCTAGAATCCTGACAAATAAGCATGGTAATTTCCTTTAAAATACAACTCTCTCAATAATGCAAGCCTTTATTAAAACAATTTGTTAAACCTTGGCAAAGAAACTGTGTGACAACATCATTTTACAAGAATTTCTTGTAGTTTGTAGAAAGCTGAGTGAGAGCTGAAATGGTTTGTTTCTCTTAAAACAACTGATGTTAAGCATATTAAAAAGGAAAATGAATAATGTCTTAATTTTTTCCTTTTTTTTTACACCTGTAGAATTCATCACAATCATCAAAACAGGTTGGGTTTTGTAGAGCAGGGAATGCCTTTTCTGTGGTGGTGACACCTCYCTGCTTTGCAGGAGGGGCTCCAATCGATGTGACATGTTATTGTGAGCTCATGCCAGAGGCAGTCTGCTCGTTTTGAGAAMGAACAGCGAGTTCTGATAAAGAAAACCCACCCTCAGCCCGGGAATACTTGGGCCAGGCTGCTGTCCCAAGCTTGATATTGCCAGGACAACATTCCTAACTGCCTGTGAATTTCTGCCTAAGCACTTTTGCAAGGGAGAAAATGCTTTTGTAAGGGGAAATTGATTGGTGGTTCGGTCTGAGCACAGAAAAAAGAAAAAGACAAAAGCTTTAGGTTAGAAAGGACCTTAAAATCACCCAGTGCCAGCCCCACTGCCACGGGCAGGGACAMTGTCCACTGGACCAGGTTGCTCCAAGCCCCATCCACTTGACTTCCAGGGCATCCACAGCATCACCACTGTATGTTTCCATCAGATTTTTGTGGTTTTGAATTAGAGTCTATATGAAGGCAAGATAAGCTGGAAATTAGGGAGGCTTTCTTGAGATTTAGTCAAAGCTGGAAGCACTCAAAGGTAATAGTGTATAAGAACACAATCCTTTAAAAGCCAAAATTTAATGTATCTAAGCTACTGGAGCACCCCAACATTTCAACAAGTGYTTTACAAAATTGCCTAAAACTCTGGCTTCCCAGAAATGCCACGGAAAATCCAAATAGCCTGATTATTTTATCCATGTAAAATACACTTCTATTAAAATTACCCACAGAATCCCCAGTGCCCTTACTGCACTTACAGCACCACCCAATCACTCAGAGCACAGCAAGTGGAAAAGAGGTCCTGGTGGAACAAATCGGTCCCTGAGGAGGAGAATTGCTCTCTACTTCTTCTGAGGGAGGTCATTCCTGGTAGTGATGCTTGAAAATTGTAGCCTTAGTTTTATTAGGAAATTCCATCTCAACTGGGGCAAATCATGCTCTAGGTATGGGTGTCACTGGGAGCTTTTCTAATCCTGTTGTGTTTAGGGGTTTGATCAATTTTTTTCCCCCCCAAAGTAGCTTGCAGCTCCAGTCGTGAAATAGGTAAGAAATACTGTCATTACTTCAACAGAAGTGGTTTTTGTGATTGAAGTTTTTACTTGCAGTGAGGAGGAGGTTTATTATATTAAATTCAGTGGGACATTATATTAAATTCRGTTCACTTTGACTCTTTTCCTACTRTTGGCAGGAAWTCTGCTGTTGTTCTGCACCCTGTTTGGTTTTCTCATTGTTGGTTTTATCCACCTGTTCCTAGCATTAAAACCAAGGGCAGCTTTTTATTCAGCTAAGGCTGCAAACAGCATCCACCCTGAAACTTTTCAATGCTTTTTGTGGCCAAGGGGACCCTTCTTTTTCATTGATTTGAGYGCACTCGCTGAATAATTGCATCCGACGAGGTTCTGAAGCTTAGTCAGAGTTTCCCCTGCCTTCTGATTTTGGCTGCTTCTGTTTTGACTTTAAGATGTCCCTGGATGTTTGTCACGGGAAATGAGCTTGGCTGTTTGCTTTGCTTTAAGTGACATTCAATACCCTGAAGAGASAAGTGGAGTATGACAGGTCTGTAATTGGGTCAATTTTTCTTTTTCCATCCATGAAATAGCCAGGCATGTACACATCTAACTGTTCTGCCTGTGCAGTACACCATGTCCTGGATTTTTAATAGGGTTTGTCTGTAGCTAGTTTTGATTTTTTTTTATTTTTTTTTAACACGTATAAATGAATCTTTTAGAGCACTGAGGGGTTTTAAACTGGAAAACGTCAGTGACAAGAGAAAAGCTGCAGTGTGGCAACTAAAAGAAGCTTTTCCAACGTGTCTGATCAGCACATCCCTGCACCTACAGCTGTAGGGCATCTGCTGAGACAGAAGATCCTACATAAATAAGATGTTAATGTAAAAAATGGTATTTACATTACCTCAAATGAGAACTGTTAGGGAAATGTCYGAGGGCCTGTGTATCTTTCCTGTGATGGCTGGATGGAG